TATGGTGAACCAGACTTCGACTATAGTTGGAGCTTTATAAGTTAAAAAAGTTCCCTTCTCAATAATAAAGAAAAAGCTTTGAAATAATACATTAAAAATGTCACTAAGGGCACTGTAGATGACTAATGAGTGATTTGGAAAGGATGAGTGCAATGTTTAGTCTTATAAGATTATTTATTGACTGTACTGTTACCTTTTATCTATTTTGTGATTGACCTTTTTTGAGATATAAGAATTACTCTGTGTCTGTCACCATCTTTATGAGGTTTTGGTACTAGAGATTAATGGATGAAGATACACCACAAAAGATTTTTTTCTCTTTTCTTATTATATTTTAATAATATTTAAGGAGGAAATAAGTCACTGGTACCAGTGCTTCATCTATACTAATGGCAGCCTGCATACTTGCAGTTATTTGCAGAAATCAGTTTTCATTTTTTATCACAAACTTGGTATCTACAAACTTCTTTTCAACAGAAAACCCAACTATTTATATGAATAATAACTTGTGCTTAAAATGTACATTTTTATAATTGCATTGGTTAAATGTTTGGGTTAATTTAAATTAGACAAAAGTCTCATATATTTAACAAAATAATTCATAATAAGCCCTTCACAGGAAATAAACAAATCAGGATATTTGGAAATTGCATGAAGAATTGAATGGTAAAGGAAAACAAATGCACAACTTTGATCCTTGCTCTTGACAGAACTAAGAAAAGACAGTTTCAAATTTTATCATAATATCCAGAGAATAAAACACATTTGATATCTCAGCAACAGGCACAAACTTGGCATTTCAGTGAGAGCAAATGACATTGAGCAGGACTTGGTATGATTATACCTTTCTAGTGAGTGGTAACTAATGAAGCAGTCTCATGCTCAGGAAGTGAAACTGGTGACAAAAAGGGAAAGAATGCAACTGGCAAGATCATGGAGGCAGGGAAGGAGGATCTCACACACATTAGTTCAATTCATCCTGGCCTGGATCAGCAATAGTGTGGCCAGCAGGACCAGGTAGTTCTTGTCCCCATGCACCCAGCACTGGTGAGGCCACACCTGGAATCCTCTGTCCAGCTCTCGGCCCCTTCGTGCAAGAAGCACATTGAGGTGCTGGAGCGTGTCCAGAGAAGGGCAAAGAGCAGGGGAAGGGTCTGGAGCACAAGTCATGAAGAACAGCTGGGGGAGCTGAGGTTGTTCAGCCCGGAGAAAAGGAGACTCAGGGGAGACCTCGTTGCTCTCTACACCTGCCAGAAAGGAGGCTGTCGAGAAATGAGGATCAGTCTCTTCTCCCAGGCAGCTGGTGACAGGACAAGAAAAAAATGGCTTCACATTGAACCAGAGGAGATTTAGGCTGGATCTTACAAAAATATCTTCAATTAAAGGCTGATCTTAGGAAAAATATCCTCAATGAAAGGCTGGTTGGAATAAGCTGCCTAGGGCAGTGATGTAATCACCATCCTGAAAGTATTGAAAAAGCATGTAGATATGGCATTTGAAAACATGATTTAGGGGTCAACATGGCAGTCTCAGGTTAACAGTTAGACTCAATGACGTAAGTGGTCATTTCCAACCTCAAGGATTCTATGACTCTATGTGCTTTAAAGGAAAAAAAAGCAGAAAATTAAAAGAAAAAAAGAGACATTTCAATGTTTTTGCAGAAGAAAATGTCTCTTGTAACTTATTAGACAAATCTGCTCACTGTGTATAGACTTCTAATAGAAACCTAGTGAGTAAATTAAGACAGAAATTTTCATATCTAATGTGGCGAGAAATAAAATCTCAGGTAAGATCATTTTAGAATTACTTACAAAAGCATTTTACAAATCTGAATTGGTAAAGTCAAAAAGAAAAAATGTGTGATTATCCAGCTTTTAGTATAGAATTCAGGCCCTTGAACTCTGTCTCACTTTTACTTTTTTTGTTTAGATTAGTATTTTTCACGTTTACAAGTACTGTCTCTCTGCTTCCAGAAACCACAATTTTATACATTTTTCTCAGTTATTTGGTTCTCAATGGCAGGTAGATTCTTTCTTCTCTTCCCTCTTTGTCTCTTCCTCTTCAATTTCATCTCCTCTCCTGTATCCGCTCCTGTCTCCTCTCCTGTCAATGTGTGGGCTTCTGCTTTTCCAAAATTGCAGTAATTTGATTTATATATTTATGCAATGAAGGAGAATTTTTATGAACAGTTACTGTATCTCAGCTGACACAGAATGAATTTTTAGCTCTATCAAATTGTTTATCTGTCTTCTAAATAAAGCCTATTTCTTTTTAAGCTTTTTTCAAATATTTTAAATGTCTAGTGGGGTACATATGTTGTAATCTGTCTCTTATGGGAGACATCAAACCACTCACTTTAGTTTCTTCCTCAGTAGTGTCATTGAAACTATCAGAACAGTTTACATACCTGAGCTTCAACAAGAGCCTTATAAATCTTATTTCTCAAAGAGCTATCAATACCACTTATTACTTTTCAGACTCTGAACAGCCACATTGCTCTCTGTGTGCCTCAGTTTCCATGCTTTCATTTTACTTCCTCTCTCAGGGGACATCTACAAGACTACATAGCTGTCATAACTACCACTAGACCAGTGCTAAATGATCTGAGATGAAGGATACTCAGAAATAGAGCTGCTCTTATAGCATGCAAGAATATTAGTATGGGAGAGAAGAGAGAAAAAAAGACTAACTCTGTAGGTTGCTCTTCAAGCATTCGTCATAGATATGCAACATAGACATTCATGGAGATTCTAGTCCCAGGAAACTTAAGATAAATGCACAAAAGTGATACAATTTTCAGTGGAATCACTGGAAAAAAAACTCTCAAATTGCTCCAGTATATCTGAGTTTTGCATATACACAGGGAAATTAAATTAAAGTTCTGGCTCAAAAACTCTTTCATGTGAACAAGTAACTCTTCCTTGTGAGTGGTGCAGCTGGGGGTTGATCTTATTTTTCATGGATAAAGGAGATTATGAAAGTATCTTAATGTAATAAAATTAAAACCTCAAATAGATGGATCTTTGTAGCAGACAGGAAGGTCTCTGCTTAGAACAGAAATATAAGAACCTGAGTCATACTCTATTTTTTTCTGTTTTATACACAGAACATCTGTGAGTCTTTGCACAGCCTCTTAGTTCTTACCATGAGATCTGTGCGCGAGAAGTTTGGTTTGATGGATGTCCCCTCTAATTAGGTTATGCAGTGCTGATTTTACCCTACCTTTTCTGGTTTTTTTTTTGTTTTGTTTTGTTTTGTTTTGTTTTTTTTT